AGGTAATAATGCAGTAAATAATGTTCAGTTTCTTCCGCAGACTGATCGTTTCGCTTCATAAGGCCTCAATATATCGCCAGGAGCCATGGATATTAATTTTGTGTTGCCTGATGTGCTTTTTTGACTCTCAGTGACTTGGTAGCCATTGACTTGCACTGTATGAATCACCAAAGGCCACGGTTTCGGCTAAAAATCTTCTTTACTGTTTCACTGAAAAAAGTCGCCTACATCTTGGATGGCCTGAGAGTGAGCAAATTAACAGCATTTAGTTCATTTTTGGGTGAACTATCTCTTTAATTATGGGCGTAAACAAGCATTGCTTGTCAGTTTTTGTACTTTTGAACATGAGGTTTTCAATGTTTTTTTTTTTTAATGCTTTTTGCTCTTCTAAAGCAGCAACAATATGGAATGTTAAATATTTATAATGTCAAAATCACAATGTGTTTTCTTCAGTCTTAGTGGCATACATGGCTTTGTTTGAAGAGCACAAATATCACCATTAGGTTATTTAAAAGCACCGTTTTGGAAGAATTTCTACATTTGGCTACATCTGAATGTCGCACTATTTACTCATTACAGAAGACAAGCTTTGCATTGCTCTACTCTGGATAATGTGAAGCAGTAGATAAATCGATGTGCTGAAAACCCATTTTCCAAAGCGCTTGTCCTACGTAGGATCACAGAGTTGGGTCTCGGGCTGAATGCCAGTCCATCAAGTCCTCCCACATCACTGGCAGCGGCATGGCTTCTCTCCAGTATGCACTTTTGTGTTTTTAGGGTTCTTGAACCAATGATCCCTTCACATGGGTTTCTCCAGCGTGGGTCCGTTGGTGCCGTTTCAAGTATGTCGCTCTGGTAAAAGCCTTACCGCACTCAGAGCACACATGCGATTTCTCACTGGCGTGTATTTTCTGGTGCGATTTTAAATTGCCGAGCAGTTTGAAACTCTCTCCGCAAAAAGAGCATAAGTAGGGTCTCTTGTCCGTATGAAGCTTCAGGTGTGCCTTCAAGCGTGCCGCCAGAATAAACTTTTTCCCGCACTGATCGCAACTAAACGGCCGTTCTTCAGAGTGAATGAGCAAATGCGTTTTGAAAGTGTTGCTCTCTGCAAACCTCTTGCCGCACTCAAAACACTCATGTAATTTCTCTCCAGAATGATATTTCATGTGCATGTTTAGGCTTCTCTGAACTGTGAAGCTCTTGCCGCACTCGTAGCACGTGTAAGGCTTCTCTCCGGTGTGAGTTCTTATGTGCGTCTTAAGGTGTCCTTTACATTTGAAGCTCTTTCCGCACTGAGGACACGTGTAGGGCTTTTCTCCAGTGTGGATTCTCATGTGATCTTTAAGCTGTCCTTTATGTGTGAAGCTCTTTCCGCATTGAGGGCATGTGAACGGCTTCTCTCCGGTGTGACTTCGCATGTGACGCTTGATGTACCCTTTATCTGTGAAGCTCTTTCCGCACTGTTTGCACGTGTAAGGCTTCTCTCCGGAGTGAGTTATGTATGTGGTTCTAAAGGATTACTTTCCGAGCGAAGCTCTTTCCGCACTGATGACAAGTAAACGGCTTCTCTCCGGTGTGGACTCTCATGTGACACTTAAGGTTTTCTTTATTTGTGAAGCTCTTTCCGCACTGAAGGCACGTGAACGGCTTTTCTCCCGTGTGAATTCGCATGTGACACTTGAGGCTTCCTTTACACGTTAAACCATTTCCACACAGATGGCACGCGTAAGGCTTCTCTCCGATGTGAATTTTTATGTGATCCCTAAGGTTTCCTTTATGTGTGAAGGTCTTTTCACACTGAGGGCAGGAGAAAGAATTTTTGGCTTCTGTTGTTTCAGCCGCAGATTCTTCTCCAACTTTAAAATCTTCAGGAGTTTCAATGTAGCGGTTCTCCTTGACGACACTCGGTTCTTGAACTTCCTCTTTCACCTCCATCTGGTCTAAAATTAAAATGTATTAAATAGTCAAAACCAGTTCAAGAAAGTGAAAGAAGAAACACTAAAGTGAAGTCTGTGTATACTGTGATTATAGCACGTGCTCTTCAATTGCACGCACAAATGTGGCGGCGGTGCTGTATTATATTAAAGCACTATACCATATTAAAGCGCAAATGAAACTACGAGCATGCAATGTCGTAGTTATGTCATGAAGTTACCAAAAAGGCGATTAAAGCTGCCTTAAAACTGTGCATGCATCAGATTTAAGATGTCTCTGAAATGCAGTTTGGTTTTCCAAACTGTCCTGGAGCAGCAGCACTGTCTCCCTCATCTAACACCCCCGATTCAACTCCTCAGCTCATTATAGAGACTTTAAGAGCTGAAATGATTCAGAAAAGGTAAAGAGTTATGAGAAACTACGATGCGTGTCAGATCTGTGTCATGTTCAGCAGCGGCAGCTCTTAAAGCAGCCAAAATAACCTCATAACCAGCTGCTTGGATGACTGTTCATCAAAGTAAAAAGAGGAAATCAATCACTTTAGTAGCTTTAGTAGGATTAATCTTTATTTAAATTAGAATTTAGTGTTTGATAACTTCAGTTTCTGTATATTGAACCGTCATGTACCGTGAAACCGGTATAATTTTGAAAAATACCATGATATAAATTTTTGGTCATACCGCCCAGCACTACTTAGAAGTTATTTTTAAAGTCTAATAAATGTTAAAATTGACAGCTCTCAATTATACTGTAATGTTGAATGGCTATAAAAAAACACTATTTCCTAGAGACGTCAGTAGTATTGCTATCAGTGATACTCGCCTTCAGTCATAAAAAAAAAAAAACTTTAAACAAATATAAAAAATATACTGTTTTTATGTTGTTTCTACATTAATATGAAGATTGAATGTGAAATTGCTGCAATATAAAAGTATATTTAAAAACTTTAATGTTAGGTGGGATTCAACGTGATTAATTTCAGAAAATATGTGATTAATTTGTTAAATTTTTTTTTTTTAAATCATTCACATTTTTTAATCAGCGCTAGTTATTTTACATCTTTTATGGCAGGGGTGTTGCCTCAACACACTTGATTAGCTGGTTCATCTCCCAAATGCATAAATGCTAACTTAAACTTACTTTAATGTTCCTCATCATCAGTCATTAAGACTCAGAAATGGACCCCAACCTCTTTGTTCCTCAGTTTCTTCATCTTTCACTTTACACGGCTCTGGATCACTCATGTCCACAACCTCCACTTTAATGAGCTCCATATTCACAACAGTGTTTCATCTGAAGCTCCTGCTTGCCTGGAAACTTTTCTTTGTCACCTTTAAGATGCTAAGTTTGAATGCTCAACAGAATAAAGGGGGCAAGTAAATCCCTCTGTTCCTCATGTGCAACATTACAACATACATTGTGCCGCTAATTACGAGATACAAACTATCAGCACTTCAGACAAAGCTGTACGGTAAAATACTACGTCTAAAATTACCATCGCAAAATTTAAAACACTTACGAACGTTTTGAACCGTTTTATACACCTTAAAGGCTGAAGGGACCAAAACACAAACCTTCCATCAGTCAAATAACAACAAACGAAGAAGTCGCGGCGCAGAATTTATGATGTCACAACGCGACAGCGGTACGGAGTGGCAAAATAAAAGACTTTTAAACTTGCTAAGTCTAATAATCATAATATATATATAATAATTATATATATATATTTTTTTTTTTTTTCCTAATATAGTAGCAGCCTATTCATGTTGTCAAGATGATTGTATATTTACGTATAACCTAAGAATAAAAGACTATGTTCTAGATTTATTACCCAAAAATACTTAGAAAAAAATGTGTGATTTCCAATCAATTATCAAAGTTGTTATTATTCAGGTTTAAATGATTTTATTTTATTTTATTTTTTTAAAACACTTACGAACTTTTGAACCGTTTTATACACCTTAAAGGCTGAAGGGACCAAAACACAAACCTTCCATCAGTCAAATAACAACAAACGAAGAAGTCGCGGCGCAGAATTTATGATGTCACAACGCGACAGCGGTACGGAGAGGCAAAATAAAATACTTTTAAACGTACTATAAGTCTATAAAAATAATAATATAATAATAATACTATATATATTTATAGTAGCCTATTCATGTTGTCAAGCTGATTGTATATTAACGTATAATCTAAGAATAAAAGAGTATGTTCTAGATTTATTATCCAGAAATACTTCGAAAAAAATAATTTATTTTTTGATAAATTATCGAAGTTGTTATTATTCAGGTTTAAATTATTTTATTTTATTTTATTTTACACATCCGCTCTCGGAACTACATGTTCACGTAATAAAAAAAGGGGGCAGTAAATATCAGACGGACGTGCTTCCTGTTTTGAGTCGGGTCGCTTGTTGCTTTCACTCACTCACTCACTCAATCATACACTCACTCATTCACACTAACACACTCACTCACTAACACACACACACACTCACTCACTCTCACTCAATCACACACACTAACACTCACTAACACACACACACACTCACTCATTCACTCAATCACACACGCTAAATATAAAGTTCTGTAAACATCTTTATTAGGTTGTTACAAAAAATATTCCTACATTCTCAGAAAAAGTGGTTCAGAAGCGGTCACTGGGGTTGTATCCTTTCAAAAGATACTAATGCACTGTTAAGGTACTCGTATGCAAGTATAGTGAGCGGTGTGTTATGAGCTGTTCTCTCTCAGTCTCTGGCAGAGTTTGATCTGCGCTCAGTGACGTATGAGATCAAATCAGCTCGATGTCACGAAATGCGTCTCATCAAGCCGCCCCACGACTGCCTCACGTTCACCTTCCGCAGCGAGCAGGAGGCGCAGGAGTGGGCCACCGTCATGATGTCATCGCTCAGAGAGTCATTCACACTAACACTCACTCTCTCACACACACACACACTCACTCACTCACACACACACACTCACTCACACACACACACTCACTCATTCACATTCACACACACACTCACTCACTCATACACTCACTCATTCACACTAACATTCACTCTCTCACACACACACACACTCACTCACTCATTCACACACTCATTCACACTAACACACACGCATGCAGGCTCACTATTCTTCCTTTCATACCATCACATCAGTTCTGTCTGTTTATCTGTCAGTCTGTGTAAACACTGTTTACCCTCCTATAGTCTAGTCTTGTGTAGCTAAATATAAAGTTCTGTAAACATCTTTATTAGGTTGTTACAAAAAATATATTCCTACATTCTCAGAAAAAGTGGTTCAGAAGCGGTCACTGGGGTTGTATCCTTTCAAAAGATACTAATGCACTGTTAAGGTACTCGTATGCAAGTATAGTGAGCGGTGTGTTATGAGCTGTTCTCTCTCAGTCTCTGGCAGAGTTTGATCTGCGCTCAGTGACGTATGAGATCAAATCAGCTCGATGTCACGAAATGCGTCTCATCAAGCCGCCCCACGACTGCCTCACGTTCACCTTCCGCAGCGAGCAGGAGGCGCAGGAGTGGGCCACCGTCATGATGTCATCGCTCAGAGAGTCGCACAGAGGTCAGAGGTCACTGCTACATTCAACCCTACTCTATTATATTTGATACATTAATTTCTAAGGTCTCTAAATGACCGACATGATCAAACTCTGCTGTTAAACCTGTTTCACTCTTATCTACTGCATGCATTCTGTCTCTGATTATAAATTAAATTATCAAATACATGCCAGATATGCTTAGCCTCTCTGCTTGTTTAAAGATCTGCTTCTGATTGTTCATTCACTGTCTCTGTCTTAGTTGCCAACATTTCTCATCCTTCAAATGATGGAGAGCAGAATATGAATTGTGGAGAGAATAACTCTGTCTTGTCGCTGTCTATGAAAGGTTTGTTTTCTAATAGGAGTGTTTAAATGGTTTAGCCATTCTACCATTGTTGTAATCACAAAATAAACTTGATATATATGATAAATGCACACTTTTGTGATGCAGTGCACTTTATTTATTCATGTTTGAGTACTAACAGTGTAGGAGTGACGGACAGTTTCCAGAAAGCTTTTTTTGGTTTGACTGTAAATATTGGTTCTGCATATACAAATAATCAGTACTGGTTATAAAAGAAACTCAATATCAGTCAGTCTCCACTACAAATCTTCTTGTTCTCGTAAGCGTTGTGTGACTGCTTCTCTTCTCTTCTCTTCTGTCTGCTGTAGAGGAGCTGTGTCTAGAGCTTTCTCGAGCGATCGAGGCTGGAGATACTCATGCTGCTGTGCACTACGCCACAGATCTGGCCAAGCAGCAGATCACACTGAGTATCCAACCAGCGCTGCGGGACACAGACGACACGGAGATCAGGTGTGTGTGTGTGTGTGTCTGTGAGTGTCTGTGAGCCTTGATGAGCAGAAGAGACTTCTTTAAAAACATTACAAGTCTTACTGATCCCAAACTTTTGAACAGCAGTGTACATAAAGATGCATTAAAAGCCTGATGGTGACAGATTTCACAGATGTGATTTTTATTTTTATTTTTTTATTTCAGCTTAGCTGTGGTTGTAGAAGATGCGTCGTCTTCCTGCTGTGTCACAGTGAAAGTCCACCCTCACGTGACCGTCGCTTCTCTGAAGCAGCAGGTAGGAAAGGTCGAAGCACATCTTGAAGTCAGATCTGATGTGTTGGATTGATCTGATGGTGTGTTTGTCTCTTGCAGATGTTTGTTGAGTATGGTTTCCACCCCAGCGTGCAGCGCTGGGTCATTGCTCAGTGTCTGTGCTCTGACGGCCGCTCTCTAGCGTCGTATGGCATCTACAGGGACGGCGACACTGCGTTTCTCTATCTCTTGTCTGCTCGTCACGCCTGCCTCAGTCGCCAGCAGCAGGAGAACGGTGTGTCGATGCCGACTGCAGCAGCGCCGCCGAACGCCTCGCTCGGCCCCACACCGGCCCCCAGCGGCCCCGGCAGCCACGACTGGAGAGGCTACAGCACCTTACCTTCCCGCCTTAGCCACAGCAGCACAGGTCCGCTCGGGTCACTCACAGCTGTTTGGCACGGTCCAAAAATGCTTGCTCTAGCGGCCGAAGATGAGTGAATAGAGGACGTTTTACTTGTATAAAAAAATGCAACATTACAATTTTTCCCTTACGACAGTGGAATTATTTAAGTGTCTTTCCTGATATATTCAGGTCATTGTGTCACTCACAGTATCATTACAAGCCAGTCTCTGTCTCTCGTTAAATCAGGCTTCTTTTTATACTAGTACTTATGCTTCTGTTCAAATGTGTGGGGTTGGTGAGATGTTTCTGAAAGAGTCTCTTCTGCTCATCAAGGCTGCATTTATTTGATCAAAAATACAGTAAAAATTGTGAAATATTATTACTATTTAAAATATCTGTTTTCTATGTGAATATATTGTAAACCGTAATTTATTTAAATGATCAAAGCTGAATTTTCAGCATCTTCAGTGTCACGTGATCTTCAGAAATCATTCTAATATGCTGATTTGCTGCTCAAGAAACATTTCTGATTATTATCAATGTTGAAAACAGTTGTGCTG